AGTCTGCGGGGTGACTTCGATGGTCCTGTGAATCGGAGGCATTCGCCAGACCACGCGACGCACATTCTAGTAAAGGCGGACCGTCAGAGGGGTGATCGGTAGCATTCGGTGTCACTTCAACTGTGCTGGAAGCATTTGAGGGCATGTTTGGTGAGATCAGAGCAACGGTGTCCGGAGTACGTTTGTCCTCTAAATTACTCAGTCCAAGATTGGAGCGCAGGCTATTGACTTCGGACAGAAGGCAGCTGTACTCATTGAAAAGAGAGTTCGCAAGTCTAAGTGCCTTCAATTTGTCGATATTGGCTTCCAGGATGGCACGCTCGACCTGCGAAATTAGAACAACACAAGTGATAGATAGAAAGCTCCATTAGAAGTAAATATTTGCAGAGATTTTAAGAGCGATGCTCTCCAAATATATTTGCTGAGCTTCAATATTTTCGGTTCCTAAAAAATAACAACGCGCCGCATAGTCAAACCATTGAGAACTAGTTATACGTAAAGTTTTCAAAGTTCACCTGGATTCGAGATCTTGTGGTGAGGAGAGAGGGTAAAACTTCAAACTCAGAAACTTTTCAAAACCTTTTGGAACACCCCCTGGTGAAAACAGACAGAGCTGAGGAGATCGTGTTTACTTTGCACCCGCTAAACTGATTTCAAAACGGTAATGGTAAGACCGGATAGACCGTTTCATATATAGATCAGGAGCCCCTACCTGCAGTAATGTTAGTATGCGTGGCGCTAAAACCGACAACGCCTACGGGTCAGACCAAGCTCACTTTTGCAAGCGCCTGAGAGTCCACCTCTCATCCGCGCCTGGATGGAAAACTTGCGATAAACCAGCAGAGGCAAGACTATAGAGAATAGAAATCTGGTACTGCTTTCTAACCAGAGGCAAAGAAAACAATAACAAACGGTCACCATATGGGTCTCTAATTTGTCAGACAGTTAAGAAAAAGTATCGAATTCACCCAACAATGTCTGAATCATTGAATCGGCTTAAGAACACTACAGCTGTCCTACTTTTACTAAATTTTTATGTAGTTGATGCGTAGACTAGAGTAATTCTGGTAGAGGAGCGCCTCACCGATCGGTTACAAAGCTAACCGGCATACTATAGGAAGAAGACTGCTGGGAAAGACAAGGAAGACTGGAATGGCCATTTCTGGCTTATTAGCTATCATCAGTCACTCATACCCAACCCTAGGCTGGGCACCTGAGGTCCGAACCCGCGACCGGAAGCTGAT